GTTTATGAATGTGCGCGGGATTTTAATGATTCCCCATGCCGAAAAGTTGAAATTTTGGTCTTGGACACGCTCACTCTTCGAAATATCAGACAGATGTCGCCTTCAATCCTAATTTTATTGTACAGGTGAACCTCGATGAGTCGAATTCCTCCCTAAATCGAATTTTTTTCAAGTCCCTGTCTGAATTCCCTTAGTATCAATACATTAAAAAACTTCCATACCTGAAGTCTTTTTTTTATAAAACCTCTGTAAGTCGAATTTTCTGAGGCCTTCTGGTCATTATTTCTTGAAACATGAAAGATAAAATGATTAGAACAAATAAGTTGATGCATCTTGAAAGGAATTGAAAGAAAAATACTGTATGGCAAATGAACCCCTGCCTCCAAGTTCAGCAAGGTGTACCCCAGAATATCCTCATTTACGATTTCCCACGTTTTCTTCACTTCTGACAGCAAGTGTTTGCTTTCTCAACTGGAAACCTCAAAAAATGAAAACCTCCCCAAGTTGAATTTTTTTCATGGTCCCTAGAAATTTGACTTACAGAGGTTGAACTGTGAATGATTTATGGATCATTGAACCAGATGAGGGCGACACCTATGGTAAAATTTTTGGGAAATCCTGATTGGAAGTGAAACGAATAAATTTGTATGGTTCGAGTAGCAATAAAAGCTCGTCACAACAAACTAACGGGGAATTGAAACAAATACTAATGAATTACTGTATTTTTATTGTATTGAGACTCAAGGTTATGAACATATTTTAGACTTGAATTTTGTGGAAGATGTGAAATGCAGTAAATACTGTGAATTGCTTCTCCAACACATAATTTAAGAACTGTGATATTTTTCAAGCCTCTCAAATGAAATTACAATGAAACATTTCGAAAAGGATTGATTACGACGAATTTGTTCTTTATTCTTCCGTCCATTGGCTTAAAAATTATTTGAGTTCGCTCATGAAGGAGTTTTTTTTATGACGAAGCTATGTTTACGGGTCCGAATGGCTTCGTTGTAACGAGATTTTAATTTATTAAGGTTTCATTTTAACATTGCAGGTGGACACTCAGCGATGAAATTCGAGGGACCATTAAAAATTAATTGTGGAGAGAATTTCGTTGTAGAGAACCCCTTTAGCATGGGGAGAGAACCCAAAAATTTTTTATACAGTACTACAGAGAAAATCGTGTCTGTTTAAATGGTACTAAAGTACTGTATTCGATTTGTGTTTTTATCATGGAATGATGGAATACTCATCTTAGGTGGAGGGCTTCATTTTACAATCTTGCGATTAATTTTTTAGAATTAAACAAAAGATTTTTTTCATATTTTTATTTCCGGTGATAAAATCTTGCGATTAATTTTTTAGAATTTACGCAAAAGATGGCGTTTAAAAAAAATATGTTTATTCCAGGTGGACTGTCCAGATGCCAGAATTTACGAAGAAACGTTGATCGCTCTTTCGTACGAGAAGCCATTGCCTTGCAAGTGCTTCAGACTGGAGCCATTGCAGTTGTGCAACTGTGGCCAGGATGCTGAGCACAGCTGCAACTCCTCCAGTGCTTTGGATGGCATCAGGCTAAAGTGAGCCATTTTTCTCTTCAAGCGACGAAAAGGGCTCCTCCTCAACTCACTCCAAGAGAGAAAGGAGGTGTTTCTTATGCTGTGATACAAAAAAAATAAAGAAGAAACAACAATTTACTTGAGCACTAGGTGGCAAGTTTCCCTGATGGATGACTGGGAGAACAAGCGGCTGTTGTTTTTTGTTTTTTTGCTGTGTTTGATGCGCGTATTAATTACTAGGGAATACGATGGATATCGCGTTTTTTTTTTTTGTGGGAAATGTGCCGATTTGGCTCTTTGCTTGTCTGGCAAGGATTCGAGGCTATGCAAGAGACAGTTAAAGTGAGTGCAAGTCTGGATGGTGCACATGTGTATGCTTTTCTTGTTGATTCACTCTGCGTGGAAATGCTTGGAAGAAGTCATTTCTTCTGCTGCTTTGTCAAGGAAAAAAAAACATGGGTTCTCAACTTCTGAAGCCAGTGATTTTTGATCATACATCAAATATTGTATTTTAAAATTAAAAAAATGATTTTCTCTCTCCATAGGTGGATCAGGAAAGTTTGTTGGTTTTTCAAAGTGAAGTAATGTACTTTCGAGGTTAATGCTAGCAAACAGAATGAAAACTCCTAGATTTACAGCTTCTAGTCCTGTCTGTTTCAAATGGCCTTAGTATGTGAGAGAGTTAAATTTGTGCACATAATGACCACTTATTGTAATGAATCTCATCATGACAAATTATTGCTCAGGGCAAATTCAATTTCAAAGCTCTTTGAATTCTGACTTGGTAATGACGAATTTTGTTTTCCAGGCCCAAAATGCTCTATTGAAAGATTTTTCTGCATTTTCGGAATGCATAAAGTTAGGAATTCAGGGTTTCTTCTGGAAAATTTTTAGTTTAACAGTATTTTTTTATATTTTGAAAAATTTAGTCATTTAAAATCATGTTGTTTAAGGCATGTTTTTGCTTGCCTTGTCTTAGTAATTATTTCGTATAGCATGAACTGAGAAAGAGGAAATGGATACAATTCAAAAGCAAGTTTAGTGAACTTTCGAATTCAGATTATTTGCTGTTTTTTTTGATTCGGGATATCTTGAATATCCTGAGTTTATCTTCTAGATTCTTGATTACAGTTTTGTCAGCATTATTACTGTTTTCAATCAAGTACCATATACACACAAGTAAAAGATGCAATCCTATGTACAGATGAATGGTTTGCTAAAAATGGTTGAATTGAATGCATTTACTTCCCATAAAAACTGTACTTCAATTTACGTAACTAAATTTTTTCCTGGGGCATCAATATTATTATTCGAAAAAATGTCCCTGAAAGGAAGTTGTGAACCCGTGTTTGAAGGCAATTTCCATTCACCCTCTCTCTCTCTCTTTTTTCTTTGTCGTGAAATTATTTTTGTGTCGGATGAAATTCCTCAATCACTTTTTCGTCATTGCAGAGAACAGTTGTTCTGAAACGAAAAAAAAGAAGAAATCAATCGGTTGCATGAGTCACGCCGCGTCGTCAGTTCATGCGCCAGTGGCTTCGAGAAAGAATCCGTCGAGGATGTCGGGCGAGCAGCACAGGGAAGCTGTAGCCGAGAATGCCAGCGAATACGTGAAACTCAACGTCGGCGGGTCGTTGTACTGCACGACCATCGGCACTCTGACCAGGAAGGACAGCATGTTGCGCGCCATGTTTTCCGGCAGGCTCGAGGTTCTCACCGATCCTGATGGTGAGTGCCTCACTGCATTTTTTTAAAAATTTTATTTTATTTTATGGATGCTGGAAAAATATTTATACAGTCAAGCCTCTCCGAGTCAAATTTCAAGGGACTGGCAAAAAAATTTGACTTAGGGAGGTTTTGAATTGTATGGGTTGGTACTACAATACAAAGCTCTTTTTTTGGGAAACTTGGAAAAAATGTGAACGGTGATATTCTGGGGCTTAAATGGCTTCTTAAATGAGTTAAAAGGCCAATGAACTTATAATTTGGGGACCATTGCTTTACAGTATTTATTGCACACTTCCCACAGAATTGTATTCTAAAATGTGTTCCATCAAATTTTCCATCAGGTCCCTGGGAGTTTGTTGTAACAAGATTTTAATGTACATTTCATCTAATGTCTTGAATTATAACTTATAATTCAAGACAGGGGTTCATTAGCCCAATTACATCTTTCACTTCCTTTAAAACACATAAATTTCTGTTTTTATGCCTTTTTTTCTTTTTGTTTTCAAGAAAATGATGGCCAACAGGTTGCAGAAAATTTGACTTATGGACGTTTGAGGGGAAAAGCTCTTGACTTTGGGAGGCATCTAAGGGGATTCAGTATTTGACTTGGGGAGGTTTGAGTTATCAAGGTTCACTTGTACAATTAAATCCCAATGTAGTGCAACCATTTGTCCAGATGCACAATTTGTAGTACAGCTGGTGGTACCTTGCAATTTGACCCAAATCCATTGATAGACTATGGGTCAAATTGCAAGACACTTTGTAAACTTGAGAAATATTAGCACGAAAATGAAAAAAAAAGGCTGGAGCAGGTCAAATTCTGGGGCAGAGGTAGAATTGCTAGTCAACCTCCCTGCAAATTTGACCATGATATTGCAGAAGGTTGAATTACAGTAAAATCTTGTTACTACAAACTCCCAGGGACCTGATGGAAAATTTTATGTCACACATTTTAGAATACAATTTTGTGGGGAATGTGCAATAAATACTGTGAAGCATTGGTCCCCCAACCTGTGGTCTGCAAACTGGACAGAAGTTTTCTTGCCAGTCCACGGGAAATTTTTCTGCTGCATAATAAATTAACAAGTAGTAGTCTTTTATCTTTCTCTCAAATGTCCAAAGACAATAACAGCTGAAATTATGTGATGAAAAAATAAAAGTTGGATTTTCTCATAATGCTTCAGACATTTTCACCTGCTGAAATAAGTTATTTTAATCTTTTTCATTTGGGCAAACTTATCTTCAAACCCACCTTTCTAATTTTTGAAGACTTTCCACTGTTGTTGTTAGTTATTACATTTTGCAAAAAAGCAGAAACCTTTTGAGCCAGCAAACATTTTATGAAACTTTGCCAGTCTGCAGAAAATTTGGTGGTCTGCAAAAGATGCATGGGAATTTGCCAGTATGCAGGCCCAACAAGATTGGGGAACACTGCGGTAAAATAATTCCAGAACATATCATTCAAGACTCATAATAAATAGTAAGTACTTCTGATGAAATGAAGAGAAAACGTTTGAAATAAATAGTACTTTCTTTTCATTGAACCTGGCTTGTACTGAAAGTTTTTTTGTCTTGAAAAATGAAATGAAACTAAATTCCCTGTTGTAGAAATACTGTACTCCCAACTTGTTCATTCATAGCTGTCTTCCTTATCAAATTCAAGAACATTTTTGAAATGACTGTTTATATGGCAGAAAGGCATACATTCTAAAATGGAGCTCAAGAATTTCAAATAAATGTGGTCATGTTATGTATTTTTGAACTCCAGAAATTTGTGCATCTTTGATTTTTATATTCACAAAAATTGAAATTGAATCCTTTTTTGAACTTATTCTCATTCATAATCCAAAAAAAAGGTTGACTTTTGACTTGTTGAAGTCCTATTTGTGTAAATCTTGCAAGTGTTGGATTCAGATTTGTGGATGAAAATTCTGAACATCATGTTCATGTTTATTTTTCTTTCCTTTTACAGGATGGATTTTGATTGATCGTGGTGGGAAACACTTTGGCACGATTTTGAACTTCCTGAGGGACGATTCAGTGGAACTGCCGAGCACGAGGAAGGATCTCATGGAGCTGCTTGCTGAAGCCAATTTCTACCTCATCAAGGACCTGGTGGAGGCCTGTGTGGCAGCGCTGAAGAACACCGTGGATGTGCCCTTGTGCACTGTTTCCTTGATCAGTTCCCCCGAGGAGAGCCAGAAACTCATTTCTTCCACCACCAAGGTGATTTTTCAGCATCATTTTTGATGTAAGGGAAAGTTTAGATTTCAGTTCTGTGTGAAGCTAATACTGTTTCCTGAATCTGGAAATTGTGGATTTATTTTTTAATCTTTTGAATCTTGAAATGCATTTAAAAAATTCTGTTGAAAGAAAATCTCAATGTCTTTTAAAAAATATTATAACGTATAAATCATTACAGTACTGTATATTGAGACTTATAAATATAAAAATAAATATAATATTTTTAAAATTTGAACCCATTTCTAATAGGAATTTTGTGTGGAAATGAGTAAAAAAAAAATGCAGTGAAAAGCTTCTGCAAAAGATGATTGAAGACTCAACAGAGAGGCGTTATTCTACTACTGTATGAGATTTCTTATAATAGCTTTTTTCAGTGAAACTTTTTGTAAAATTTGAAAACCAACTACAGTACATTAATTCAAGAACTAATTCATTTTACTCTTGCTGGGACAATATGATGACTTGATTCACAGCTTCTAAATTTTTCCATAATTATAAATATTGTGCCATATTTTGAGTAAGATGAGTACGTTTGAGTACAACAGAAGACAAAATGAACTCAGTTGTGCTATTGATTTTATTTGATGGTGAAAATATCTAATTGTATCTATGACTAAGTTGCTGCTTAGAATTCACGTTGAGGCAGATATTTTATAAAATATTTTTTCATCATTTTCTTTTTTTTCAGCCAATTGTGAAGCTGTTGGTGAACCGGCAAAACAACAAGTATTCCTACACCAGTGCGTCTGATGACAACCTGCTGAAGAACCTGGAATTGTTTGACAAGCTGTGCAGACGGTTTCATGACAGAATACTATTCATCAAGGATGTCATGGGCACCAATGACATCTGCTGCTGGACTTTCTACGGCCATGGACAAAAGATTGCCGAAGTCAGCTGCACGTCCATTGTTTATGCCACTGACAAGAAACACACAAAGGTGACTATGAATCCTTTGTATAGAAAATACGAACAAATCATAACAGTGAACCTTACACTGAACTTACTGTTGATATAACTTGTAATCGTACTTTTATAAGTTATAGAACTTCTATGTTCAATTCAACAACTATTTCATTGTATTTTTAAAGCAACCCAGTTGTCTTTCCCTGAATAATTTCAGAATTCCCTTTACAGCCATTACAATTGAATCTTCGTAACTTAACTGATGTAAATTTTGTGATACTGAACCTATTCTAGGTGCTTTTTTATGGATCAGCAGGAATTTCTCTGGTACATGTGCCATGATCAACAAGGACAGTTGAACCTCTCTCTGGGTCAAAAACATGAATATTTTTTGCTCTATCCTCCCTGAATCTAATTGAGATGGGGCTGCTTAAAATGAAACCAAATTAAAGAAGAATGTTTCTTGGAACACGTAAGAACAGTGAATTTTCTCACAATTTGATTTATAGTTTTGGAAGTGGGTGGGAAAATAACGTAGCTCATCTAATTTCAATCAATCAATTAAATTAGGATTACCTTTCAGAACACCTGAGCCAGCAATGCGAATTCTTGGAGGGAGTAGAATTTAATCTTGAATTTTAACTTGATTTAAAATATATAAAAAAGTAAACACCTGAACCAAAAATTTTTGAAAGTGGATGTGAAAACAACAAAACTTATAAGATAGCAAGATTAAAATTAAATTCTATTTTTTGGAGGGAGTAGAATTTAATCTTACCATTTTATTTTATATTTTAAATCAAGTTAAAATTCAACACATCTTCATTTTTACTCATTATGAGATAGTAAGATTTTCTCAATCACATCGCTCAACAATCGCATTGCTGGTTCAGGTAGTCCCAATTTATTTGATTGAGGGTGGCTAAAACTGTCGGATTTCGAAAAAGAGAGGCCAAACTGGCCTGGTTAATTATGACACTCTCAAATTTTAAGAAATACAAAAATGCGTGTACTAAATTCGGGAACCAGTGTAACAAGAATGCAAGTCTAAATTCAATGGGTATTTTTCAGGTGGATTTCCCAGATGCCCGGGTCTTCGAAGAAACCCTAAACGCCCTGCTTTGCGAACCCTGTTCCTGGCCGGAATGTTGGGAATCTATGAAGGTGCTTTCCCTGAAGGGCGGCAAGTGCAAATGTCAGCTACCTGACCAAAAGCCAGATGATGCAGCGAGTGAAGAGCATCCCCTAAGAGGCAGCAGAGACGAGGCATCTGGGGATTCATCTCTAAGATGAGAGCTTGTGATGGGCTTCCCCCTTTTGCTCTGAATGCGTTTTGCTCAGCATTTGCTTTGTGATGTCTCATGTGTCTGCCCCAGGAGTTGGGGGAAAAATCTTTTGATTATTCCAACCTTTAGAAATTCTCCTAAATTTTTGCCAGATGAAAATTTTGCTTCATGAAGAATCATGAAGAATCAAGTTTCGATAAACAATAATTGTAACGTTTAATTGAACAAAAAATTAATAATAAATTTGCCTTTTTCCGGGGTGGGGCGGGTAGGAACCAGTGAGCCAAACAAGTAGTGCCGGATGTTGGACGCTGCTTGTTGACTGCATTTCTGTGCCAAATTGTGCCAGATCATTGGGTCCACCATCCTTTTCTGTGGGCTACAGGGCAAGATGGATGAAGAGAGGCAATTGATTTAACGCATGGGGCATAATATAATATTGAATTTGATGAGGAATGATGGTGACTTGGGTCTGGCACAGTTTGGCACATTCCAACATTCGGCTCTACTTGTTTGGCTCACTGGAATGATGGAAATCAACTAAATTTAACTTGAATGACACAATTATTAATTTAAATTCATTTGTTTCTAATTTATATTTTTGTGATGTAAATGACGATTAATTGATGCAGGATCTGTCCCTTTTGCTTCTAAAATTGTTTGATCAATGGTTATGCAATCGCATTCCTCTTGAGTGACCTGATGTATTCGTTGAATGTTGGGGAACTTAGTCAGGCTGTTGTGTAAATAGGTGATGCACTAATAAAATGTGAAAATTCTGTTATTGAAACTTCTTGAATTCACGGTAGCATGGCAAATAATACTACCACACAAGGATTTCCAGAAGGACAAACTGCTGCTGGAACATGAATATTCAACTGCTCTGCCAATATTAGCTGTGCCAAAAGCTCCACCCTTGATGAAGTTTCAGGAGACGTCTTCATCCTTTCACAAACTTCTTCCTGTTTCAACAGAAAATCGAATCTATAAAAAAATAATTCCACGATGCTTCAAACAGATGTAACTCACCTTCAACATCACATCCACATTGCTCGATCTGCAATCCTGCAGAGAGCAACGTGGATGTTCAGCGATTGTTTGCAAAATATGCCTGAGGTCATCTGCGGCTGCTTCTGAAGACTCGTGTATCGACGCTTTGATACACGCACCAACTCTGCCGTCTTCTGAAAAATGTGTGCGGAATAAAATTCAGTAAATTTTCTTTCTTCGGCATTTCCGAGAAAAGATTGCATACCTGTTTCAACTACGTTGACCTGAAGTCCGTTTTTAGTTATCCTCGGATCAATCACAGTTTGGTCGATAGGATCACTTGCCAGCGTTGGCAGAATGTTCGTCAGATCATCGTACCTAAGATAGAATCAATTTTCAACTGAATTGTGTTTTCAAGGATACAAATTGGATCCTGTGTAACGTACAAGACGCAGTGCTCCCACTGGCGCCATCTAGCACTGCCACTGAAGTCCATGCTTGTCTTGAGCTGTTGAAGCAAGGACACCTCAGCCAATCTGAAATTTTGATAAAAAAAAACAAGAGCATCAGAAACAAACACAAATTCAAGAAAATAGACATCACATTACCTGTGGTGATTCAACAGAGCAATAATGTTCCGCTGACTTCGCACGACCCAGAAGCCATTTTGGAGCTGACCAATGACCTGAAGACCGAGGTCAGGCTTGGGAACCTCTGGAGCATGCGACCTGATTGCGTCCAGATCGAATTGTACCTCCATTTTCAGCTCTGCTGTTTTCACGGGCTCTCTCTTGAATGACTGGACATACCCTGTGATTTTCGGTGAAGGTGGCAACGGATTCGTCTTCAACTTCCTGGAAGAGGGAACAAAAATCAATTCAGTCAACCCCTGCTTAACAGACCTCCCGCACAAAATACCACAATTTGGAGGCAGCTTTCCCTCCAACACAATGGACTAAATCCACTTAAAAGACCCTCTGTTGGTTGAAAATTGATGGTATTAAGTACTAATTTTAATTTTTTCATCATTGAATTTTCATAGCAGACTTTTTAGGTCTCAAGTCCATTGTGCAGGGGTTGAGAGTACCAAGCTGAAGCAGCTGCATCATCTTTCTGGATTGTCAGACAGATGTCACTTGAATCACTCATAAAACTTCACTTTTCAATTATACAATTTGCTCCGATCATCTCTTTACTTTAGCAAAGTAAAGTGAATCCATGATTCAGGTGACATCTACATAACACCCTCAAAAAAGTTAAATTGATGGACATGAATTTCAATTTTTTGAGCACTCTAAGGTAAAGGACATCTGTTCCAATCTTTGCACACCCTTGGGATTGATGAGTAAAATATTCAACGAGTCCCTAGAGTAGTTCTTCAGATCAACAAGAAACCTCAGAACACCCTGGATTTCAATGTCCAAAAAGGAAAAATTACTCTTTCTGATCAATGGAAAATTCAAAATCACTCAGTAAGTGTTGAGAAACCTGGCCAAGGATGAACTGGAAATTCAAATTGAAGAGGTTTAATATTGTCCCAGATAGTCCAAATATATATTCTTTTGTATTTTATTTTTTAAAGATCATCTATTCTATCCAACCTGAAATTAGCACTCATGATAAAACTCCCAGATGCAAACAAACCTGAAGGAACTTCAAGACTATCTGCATCCACACAATGATTTAAACTGTGCCATTGAAAGTTACATACAATGCACACTATAATACTGTAAGTCAAAAGTAACAAATGAACAAACAGATACAAATTGAAAGTCAAGTTCAGTACTTACAATGAGGATTGACAAAAAAGAAAAAAAGAGGGCATGCAAAAGAGGAACTCACAAAACTCTGCTCTTGAAATCATTCGCCAACAGCTGAGACTTTTCTTCATAAGCAGAACGTTGGGACGGATCCAAGGCCTTCCAACCCTCAGTCACACTCTTTTCCAGGTCATAGAGACTCACATTCTGACGTTGTGAAACAACTGTATCAGAAACAAATATAAAAAAGGCTTATTTCAGAGATGGACTCTGATGATTCAAAACCCCTCACACAAAATGGTTTGTCAATATACACACACACACAATAGACAAAATTACAATTAGCCTTGAATTCCTCATGAGTCATGACATGAAAATAAGTGGATGACCTCTACAGTGCTACAGAGAAAGAATTTGGCCACAACAAATTCTTTGGGGAACTTTTGCAGTCCCTGCAACAACAGAATTTTACTTCAGCCTCACTCATACAAATTTTATTTTATAATAAAGGCTGTCTCCAGGTCACTTTTGACTTTGTTGCAACAAGATTCTACTGCATTATCACAAATTTAAAATGCCCTTTACTTAATCATTTGTTCAATTGAGGATTTCAGAGGAAAATGAAACAGTGCTGTTCTTCAAACTATAGACACTTGCATTTTCAAAAAAATTTCCATGCAGATATTACTGTTTTCAAAGAAAAATTAAACCAATGCCTTGTCCATTTAACAGATATTGGAAACCTGCACATTTTTTGTCAACAACAGCAAATTTTGGTTATAACAAGACAATTGGGACCATAAAAAATATATTTTTTAAAATCATTGCTCCAAAGAATTTCAGACAGTAGCAATTGTTGCCATCGCTGGACAGGAATCTAAAAAAAGGATTTCTTTCAAGCAATTATTTGTTTTATGAGGTTCTGCTTTATCTTTGGGCATTTATTGGTGCAATTCCAATCAATGTATTATTTCAACTTGACTTAAAAAAGTCAAAAATATATTTTAAATTTTGGATTTCTGACTCAAAAATGGTCTGATTAAGTGATACAGCATAAATTTTCAGTTTCATCGCAAATATTTTACAGACATTATTATACCACAAAATGTCTTCTCAGAAAATACTCACTTTTCCGACGGGTTTCTTTTTCGTACATTTCGCGGGCAGTCAGTGGCTTGTTCAGAATTTTCCCACCAACCAAAACGCTTCCGGATTTCGAAACATTACTCAATTTCCGGTCCACGCTGATTTCCGAAGGCTTGGGGCAGAATATTTTCACGGGTTCTTGGGATTCCGGGAATGTTTTGCCCTCAGCCCAGGCAACAGCATCCAACACCACGGGTTCCTCGTCCTGAATAAATTAAAAAAAAAAATGGATTAAAACTTTGTTACAACGAATCATTGTTTCGAATTGACTCATTTTAAATGTCCCTCCATCAGTAAAGTCACTAAAACTCATGATTATACTGTGACAAAGGTTTTTTTTTAGATCCAAAATGGGTTTATTGTAAAAAGATTTAAATGCACAAAAAACAAAGAGAAGCTCAGCAATGAAAATCTAACAATAAATAAATAAATTTAAATAAAAAATTACAATTATAATAATATAATATTTACTAATACTGTATATTTATACATAAATATATATTGTATATATACATTAAATAATATTATGATATTTTATAAATACTGTAAATTTCAGACCTGAATTAAAATCCTGGCAAACACTAAAATCAAAGCTTCATCAGCAGAGTGGAGTTTAACTCAACAAGACTTTGGATTTCATGCATTCTAGAATTTAAATTTGCATTGGGAAAATATAAAAATAAATTTGAACTAATGAGTGTGGTCAGTATATTTTTCATTTATATTCCCTCTGTCTTACATTCATGTGTATGCCATACTTGCATCAATTTTAAGTACTGTTATGCATATTAAAATTGAAAGAAATGATTCTAATGTTACCTGTAACTTTCAAAAATTCCATCACAGTTTTTGATCATTATGTTCAGGTTTAAATTTCTCCTTGATTTTGAAATGTTTTTGAAGAAAAAAATAGTTGAAAATACTTTCTTGTTTTAAACAAGATTCTACAGCAATTGAAAATTCTCTAAAAAATGAATTTGACCTGTATTAAACAGAAATTGCTGTTTATGAAAATGTTTAAAATAACCATTTTTGATTCCTCCAGCATCATAGGAACCTGCCCAAAAAGATCATCTTCTCCATCAGATAAAAGAGCATCCAGCTCAGAGTCAGGTGGAGTGAAAAACTCTGTCATAGGTTTTGGTTTTTTTGGTGGTGGTTGTGGTTCCTGAGGCTTTTGCTGTTGTGGCTGTTCAACCCTGGCGGTTGATTTTTGAACTATTTCCTCCAATCCTCTCTTCTGACCAGGCTTTGCTGGAAGGCTTTTTGTAATGACTGCTGGGGCACTGATTGGTTCTACACAGCAGGAATCATTCAGTTCTTCTGTGGTTGTTTCAAGGATTGAATCCACTGAGGCTGGGATTGATGGAGGAGTTATTGATTCCCCTGTTCGGCTTGTCATCAATAAGGGTNAGGAATCATTCAGTTCTTCTGTGGTTGTTTCAAGGATTGAATCCACTGAGGCTGGGATTGATGGAGGAGTTATTGATTCCCCTGTTCGGCTTGTCATCAATAAGGGTCCATAAAAATCTTCCAAAAGTTTTTCCATCTTGGATAAAACTTTTGCCTGGGGAAGCAAAAGATTGAAATAGATACCTTCATTCAAGCAAAGTGAGACTAAGACAATATTATGAAACTGATCCAATTCTGGCAGAAATAAAAACATTCTTGGCAAGTCCATCAGCAGATGATGATATTTCTGTCAGGCATACAAATTAAGTATAGGAATTTTACTTGTCTGCTGATGACAAAGTTCCAAAAAAAACAGGCTCATTAAAACTGAAATTGTATAATACAGTAAATACTGTACTGCACAACATTATGATTCTTGAATACAGTTGCCTGAGAACCCCAATAGATGGGAGCATGAGAACAATTTGCAAAACACTCATTTGGTCTTCAGCAGGTAAAAAATGTTTAGCTCTGATAATATTGATAAGATCCATGAATCATTTTTCAGACAAAAAGACAAGTTCAACTTGAGCTTTCTAACATTTTTCCTGGTGTCAATATTTCTCATCTGTTATATACAACGTATCCGCAACATGAAATCTGCAACCATCAATAAATTGAAGGAGGAGGAAACAAAAACTGAGGCCTTTTGCTGCATTCCATTTCTAGAAAAATTTGGCTCACTTCCCATGTCATGGCAACAAAACACAAAATTTCGGGTAGATGTCACTTCAACAATTGTAAAATTCACCATATGACTTTTACAAATCAACACATTTCTTTAATGCCAGTGTTACCCAACCCATTGTCTGTGGACAAGCACTGGTCTGCAGACGTATTTTGCTGGTCTGTGGGAAATTTTCTCATGCATAATAAATTTATCAAAATTATCAATGAAGGACATTACAGTATCTTAATCAGAAATTTTTTCAAGGCAATTGCAGTTAAAATTATATCACAAACATTAAAAATACGGGGTTTTCCCTATAATAACACTTCAGACAAATTGCCACCTCATGAACTAAATTATTTACATACCATTCTGAGAAATTTTTGTTCAAACCCACCTTTATAATTTTTTGAATACATACCTGCTTCATTGGTTCTCAACTTAATTTGTTTTTGCAAAAAAGCTGAAACTTCTTCAATATCTGTCATAGAACTATTCTGGCAAAACTTTTTTGAATGTGCAAAAATGTTACAAAACTGTTTTTTTTCAAGATTTGACAGTCCAAAAATAATTTTATATAAATTTGCCAGTCCACGGGCCCAAAAAGGTTGGGGAACACTGAGTTTAACCAACTACAGTACATAAAGATATTTTTAAAAAATTTTGTGCACCAATTGGTGCAGTTCATTGTCTATAAATTCATGAATCATCTTTCTATAAATTGCCTTTTTTTTTTACATGTGACGGAAACAAAGCAGAATATCCGTACAGATGTCACTCGCAGTAGGAAAAGCATTCAAAAATTCAACTCCAAATCTCGGATTCCCATGACTGCCTTTCAGTCGTACAATAAATCACTCGATAAGAAAATGTACTAATAATGATGTATAGTCTGCATGTGCATTTGTACGTGTCTTGCTTGTGAAATATTGACCAGACCTGATCACTGAGGAGAACCCGGGTTTTATTGGGTTCCAAGTTGACATCGACTCCGGCGGGATTCAGAGAAATCATCACAGCTCCCACGGGAACACGTCCACCTTCTCCGTCTCGGAAAAAATATTTCGTGACCAACTGCAATATTCGGAAAAAAATATTGTAAAAAAATACATACAGTAAATATATTTTGAAAGCAGTTGTGCAAGAGCATCAAACCTTTCGAATTTCCGGCATTTTCACAGCCCTTTTATTCACAAACACAAAGAATCTGCTGTCGTTTGACCTGGTGACCAACTTCTCCAAGTTCTGGGCATCAACTCGCTTGGGAAGACAACACTCCACCTTGATCTGGAATTGACAAACAATAAATCAGACTTTCATTGTAAATTATCGCTGCATGCAGAAAATGTTCACAGTGGGAAAATTCCACCAACAATTGAATTAAAATATTCTGCAGAATCTGTCTTTTTGGCATGAAACGCGAGTCCAAAAGGCAAAAAACAAGTACAGGGTAAACTCAATAAGTTGAACCTCCCTAACTAAAAAAAAAATATTAAATTACATTTTTAGTGCTTTCCTCTTTCCTGTGCCAACAAAATAATAGCCAAAAGACCTCCAGAAAATTCAAGTTATGGAGATTTGAGATGAAAAGCCTTTGAGTTTGGGAATTTTCCATGCATTAATTCCAAGGAAATTTTAGAAAGGGACCTACAAATTTTGTACATATTAATCTGCATTCACGTCTCATGCCTTTGGACCTGTCATTCTTCTATACACAGGCAAGAATACCATTTTAAAACTCTTCTTCTTTCTAGCTTTTAAAAAATCCAAGCTTCTGTAGAAAGACAAAATTTCTCATGTAATGGAAATTGCTGATCTGAAAGAGTGCATAACGTTTGCTCTCTATTATGAGTGAGGCAAAACAGTGGATTTGTCCTTTCTAGGACAACAGCTTACTGAATTTGACTTAGTGATGTTTGATTAATGATGGAGGTACAATACTGTGCATTTGCATCAAAAATGTTGAGAATATTTCTTTTTCTCATTTTCCTAGAAATTCAAGGAAAAAGTGACCATATCTTGAGACAATGTCCAGCAGTTGTTGTGGCAGATTTTTAAATTTTAGTTTCAATAAGTGATGCTCATCAGTCAAGGAACCCTCCACAAAAAAAAAAGAAAACCTCAAATGCTCACATTTTTACAAGATATACAGTACAGTGAGACCCCCCACATGCAGACAATTTGACATAGGGACACATATTTTCCCATAAAAAATTAATAAAAAGGCCCAACATGAGGACACTGACTCAACATAGTGACATGTTGTGATAAAATTCAAAATACGTTTCTGGCCAAATTACAAGAAAAGAT